AGCCGGTTTCGGCTCGGCCGGGGGCCTCTCGTGCCAGCCCTGCTCGGAGCTGGACCACCCCTTCTGTGCCTGTCCCGATGAATGGTCCTTCCCCGCAAGGGAGCGGCCGTAGTCGTGTCCAAGTAGCCCAGGCTTTTTTTGTGGCCCGATTAAAATATTTTGTAGGTCACCATTTGGGCGTCGCCCTTTTTAGCTCCGTTGGAAGTCTTGAGGGACCGGGATGTCTCAAGGCCCCGTGAGGGAGGCAGCTGTCAACTGGTTCACCGGCAGCATTAAACATGTCCCAGGTGGCCTGAGGGAAGGCCAAAAAGTGTCTTGTAAAATTTAGATGGTTAATCTCTGTGATAAGCAGGTATCCTGGTTTTAAAAAAAAATCCCCAATTTTTGGTTAAAAAAAAAAAAAGTAACCCCAAATCCACATTTTTCTGTGATATATGTCTACGTATTAGCAGTGTTTCATTTAAATCATGGAATAACGTGGACTTGGGGTTACTTTTTTTTAAATGAGAATTGGGGGATTTTTTTTTAAATTGGAGAAAACCAGGATCCCTGGTGATAACTTAGTGTTGACATGGGAAATATCTAAGACGGTGTAGCTGTGCTGGCACCTCTTTCTTTGAAATGAGCAAGATTACATCTGTTTTGGGAAACGGAAGGGGGAGCAGGGAATAAAAGGAAATCATACCAAACATGAGAAATAGGTGTAAAGTTTCTAGAAACATTTTTCCTTTCTTTTTTTTTTAAGTGTGTGTGTGCGTACACGCACGTTTACTATCAGATTTGAAGATTTCTGCTTTGGTTTTATGAACAATATTGATGACGTGTGGATTCCTGGTCTTGCTGGGACTGTCTATTCACTAAAAGGATAGCAGGTCAGCATTATGGTCTTGTCTGCTGAAAAATGAAAAGAAGTCCAACTGAGATAAACAAGCCTAAAATAGCAATTTGTGGAGGATAAAAGAACCAGATCAGGGAGAAATTCAACATCCTGAGTTGTCGCCCGGGGGAAAAATATCTCCTTAAAATAAATTTGATTTATATTCATTTTAGACTATTGAGAAAGGAAGAAAACACCAATTGGGAATTGTCTACTAGAGTTCGCTTTGAGAGCAAAAAAGTAGCAGCAAGAATGCCAGTCCAGGCTTCATTTATAAAGATAACTTCACTAATAGCACTATTGATACTGAATTGCTTGCATACCTCAAAACAGCACACTCAATACTTCTTTTCTAAGTCTTCTGGGGAGGAGGAAAGAAAATCTTCATATACACTAAAGAAGATGGTTTGAGAAGGCTGGACCAAACAAATCATGATCCCTGCTGTAATTTGTTCATATTTGTTAGGTGCAAAGTCTATGCTTCTCAAGCTATTCAAGTCCAGAGCAGGTCACTGCCATATTAATGCTGCTGTTTACAACGATGTACCTTGAAAATGTGTTCCTGTCTAGTCACATAACTAAGGAGGGACAAGTATCTCTGGTACTTAAGTTATCTTATAACCAAGGATTTCAATGCTTTTTGCAGTCACTAATGAATTAGGTCTCAGCATCCCTCTGAGATAGGCAGTACTTCCATTTATTGATCATGGAGACAAAGAAAGGTGAAAGTGAACCTTAAATGAAAGGAAGATAAATGGTTGCGTTTCCCAACATGCTGTGCTTTTGCCATAAGGCCTCTTTTCCCTTGAGGTGGGAGATATGATAAACTAACACAACCACTGATGCTGCAGAAGGTGGTGCAGACCAGTTCAACAGGTGATGCTAAGTCTGTGTTAAATTTATGATGCAGTCTGGTATTACGTTGTTTGGATGAGAGCGAACTCTGGTATCCTTATCTAAGCACCTGTTGTTCAAGAGGTACAGTTAGTGCTGGCATCATGGTGACTCTTTAGCTCAAGTAATTTATCTTCAGTTATTTCTGAATCTCCCAACATAGTTTCATTTTGTTGTCATCTTTGTTTTCTGCCCTAAAATGCTATTGGCATTGTATTGTAATATATCTGTGGTATTTTTCTGGAGAGGCAAATGAGTTCTGTATCCAAGTTTGTAAACCATTTTATGATGGTGTGGGCTGACAGTCATTTTTTAGATATAAAGATATTGGTGGTTAGTAGGAATAAGCAAGTTGAGTAGTAGTTGTTCTCATGCAAGGAGCTTTAAATGCGGAGAGCTTACTCCAATGATCCATCTTATTTTGTAGACTTGCTGGTCTCTAGGTAGAAAGTGTTATAGAATAACAAAGCTAGCAATAAAAAGGTCTTTTCCTTCCTTTCTGCTGAGTTTAACCTGTTTTCCATATCTTTTTCATTCTTTTTTATGTTCCGCCTATTCTTGTATAACCGCATGCAATCCCCAAATCTTCCCATATTTAATACCATAAAGGATTCTTGCATTTTCCAATACAAAATCATGTGGAGCCACTGCATCCACAGAAGACAGTTATTTTGCAACAGTTCGACATGCTTTCTGCACACTGCTTATTTAAAATTATCTTTGCTTGACTTTTATGGCCTAGTGGTAGGTTGACCAACCTATGACTAGGCATGGTGCCATCCTAGCAGTGGGTGTGAGCATGGGTAGCCCAGAAACCATGAATGAATGTCTTGTTTATTTAAGGGCAGGATTTCTAAGTGATAATATTCACTGTTCATCCTTAGCTTTCACTTCCATGGCTTAAGGGGATGTTAATCAGACAGTCAGTTCTTTACAGTCTTTTCAGGTATGTGACTGAGACTGGTGGACAAGTAAAACTGGCGGTAGGGGAGCCACTCTTCACCTGTCATTCTCATGGAGCTAATCAAAATAAACTACCTTGTCCCCTCTAAGCAGGCTTGTCAGCATCAGAATTATGATGAGATTACCAAGATGAAATACATCCATAATGTTCCATGAATGAAGTTAATATGTATATATGGTATATATAACAACATATATCATATACACATTTTACCAGTTCGTAGAAAGCGGTCAAAGAAGTTGTCATTGTCCCAGGAGAAAATGTGCCAGTATTAGTCTATAAAGTATTTTCTTAAGTTAAGAACGTAATTGTAGGTAAGCGCAATAGTTCCATGTGCCTGGGGCAGCTCGTTCTGTCATTCAGACCTGCCATGCTATTTTTGAGATTATTTTAAATTTGGACAGAAAGCACAAGTTCTGTTTTTCTACAATTAAAAATGTGGAGGGAAAATTTGAATTTAATGAAGAGAGAAACTAAAGCGTTAAAAGAGAGTATTTACAAGGGTCATTTGAAAATTATGGATAACATGTTGTTTCTATGTTTTAAGATGAGTGAAGAGACTCAGCTGTCCAGTTATATCTGAAAAAAAATTTTGTTTTATGAGCACCTTGGAGAGCAGTTTAGAGTTAAATCATTGCATTTCATGAGTTCTAGACAGTTTCAGATCCTATAGTTTTGGGCAGGAATACCTAACAACCTTTTAAAAAGTAATTTAGAGATTAAATACCCCTGTCGTCTTCCTCAAGGTGACTATTAAATACTTTCATCTGTGCTGGACAGGGTTTACATGTTCTATGGATATTCAAATGTGGCTTTACTATCTAAAATTACGCCTGTAGGAACTATCTTTTGCCTTTCCTTCCAGGAGAGTTCTTTAGACCTTAGCAAGGCAGAAGAGCTGTCTTAGGGGAAAAGAAGCATTTTGATATTCAAGAAAGGGATCTGCAGACTGGGGAAAAGTACCTAGAGCTGATGGGGAGAGATGGACAGAATCCTCTAAGAACATTGCAGCTCTGTTGTTTCTGTATTATTCTAAATATCCTCTGAAGCAATAAGTGGACTTTCATATTTGTTGCACATAATTGTGTGAGAGAACACTTCTCTGACATCTTTAACTGTGGTGACAGGTATTTGATCTTTTGTGGAATTATGTTTTTATAAGCTAAACTGCTGAGATAATGGTCAAATGAGAAATATGAGGGAATGCACTCTCTTTTGTGGAACAGTTGAGATTCCATTTTTTAAATACTTAAGCTGTATTAAAAATTAGTGAATTCAACAGTTTTACTTGCAAGGAAACCAATATAGGTAAAATATTTTTCATATAGTTGGATCACAGTGCATTATCATGTGAATAGCTGTAATTCTGTAGCATGTATCGAATTATGTAAAACCTTTAAATAAAAAAAAACTCTTGTTCTACAAAATTGCTTTCATTAGAGCCATTTTTCCTGATTCTTGAAGTAATTGCTTGTTTTTGCACCTAGAAGCCATGCTGACAGGATTACTTCAAGAAATTCTTAAAGAATTTTTGTAGTAACAATTTGGCAGTTTAAACAACCCATAGTTACTATGTGGAAGTCTGTCATAAGGAAAAGAAAGTATAAAAACTGGCATATGGAGTAGAATAAAAGTGTGAAAGTAAATCTGCTCAGTGTATAACCCTGTATTACTTTTTGTAGTGAAAATGCCTTATATAAAGAAGACATCTGGAAAAAGAGCTCCTGCGAAGAGGAAGCTTGCAGAAGAATTTGCTCCAGGAGAGGTGTTAACAGATACATCAAAAAAAGAGTGGAAATTAGGCATGCATATAGGGCAAGGTGGCTTTGGACGTTTATATCTTGGTAAGCTTGTGTGTACTAAACAGAACATTTTAAAATTGAGGGTCCTTAAAGCCTCCTCCTCCCCTGCATCCTTTCCCCACCCCAACAATTCCTAGTTTAGAAAAGCTATGTATCTGTCAGCTGCAGCATAATACTTTTATTTCTTGCAAAAGGGAGAAATGTAGGTAAAATGAATATTAGAGGACATTGAGGCATAGTTAGCAGTATGTGATATGAAAACCCCTCAAGTCTTAGTCTAACCCAGTGGTTCATGACCTTTTCAAATTTGAGTAAGCCCTTAGTACAGAGGTTACCAACCCCTGGGCCATTAGGGGTTGGCTGTCGGTCCACAGGAGGGTTGGCTGCTGGACTGGAAGTCTGGAAGTGACCCACATACTGAAGGCCAGTAGCCAACCCTTTTTTATACTTCCGGTCTGCAGTTTGCCAGTCCATGGTTTGCCAGTCTGCAGTCTAAAAAGGTTGGGAACCACTGCCTTAGTAAGCTCGAAGCACCCATTGATAGACCCTTCAGAAAATGCCAGCTTTTAGTTTTCACTTGTTTTTTTGACTATATAAAATAATACGGCAATTCTTCTGTTGCAAAGAACTCAGAAAAGAACACAACAGGTCTGAATGTTTTAACATTATGGATTGCTATTTGAAATCTCTGGATTTCTTTTGTGTGGCATATTTGTACAGCTAGCAATATGCATCACCCCTAAAAGGATATCAAGACACCCCAGGGGACTGTGGCATCCCCAGCTAATTCATGTGACAGATTAGCTATAATCTTTACTGGTAACATTCTTAATTCATATATAAACCATTTTGCTCCTTTTTAATATCACTTAAATGTTTGTGGACAGGCTTCTATTTTCTTACTTAATTACTTCTTAAGGAGCATTTCTGAAGTAATTCTAGTGGTTGTTGATGATGCCAGATTGATGGCATGGGCACAGCAATTCATACATAACTATCCTGTCTTGCTAGTGTCTCAACCCTTACTTTAGCAGACCTATCTATGGATAGTTCAGTCTCCATGGTAATTTGATGTTTATTCTGTCTTATGCCAGTATTTTTTTAAGAGGATACTTGGCTCATAAATACAGAATTTAAGATTATCAGCTCACTTCATGCAAGCCACTGACCAGTTAACGGAGCTTTCTGCTTTAGCTGGGATAAATTGCATCTGAACTTTTGCCCATAGGTCATGTTGTTTATTGTATGATCAGTTTACTGAGCCATCTGTAGATGTCTGAGAATTTTTCTGTGTGGGTATTGTCACAAAATTCACTTTATAATGATACTTGAACTTCCAGGGAAAAGTTTGAATTTTTTTTCTTATATCTAGCACCATTTCCAAAATGCATTCTGCACAGGTGGCATAGAAGTGAGGTCCTCACAGAACCCTGGGAATTTCTGCTGAGGGCCCCATGTTATGATTCTGTTCTTCCAATGAATGTTGGATGGTTAAAGTTTTAAGATGAAGATGGTGATAAGGCTCTTGTACTATGTGGTGCATTAGATATGTGATGAGATGTTTCCCTTCTTCCACTTGTGATACAATTGCATGGAATTCTGTAGCTTCATATAGTAATTCATGGGTTACAAAATCATTTATTGATCTAAGGTGTTAGTAAAATGATCAGGCACCAATATAAGGTGACAGTGTTCTTCTGAGAAGACTTGGTCAAGAGAACTGACAAATTTAATCGTGGCTAGAGAAGCCTGGCTTTGCTGCATGGTTTTGCCTAAGCTCCTAATGCTTACTAAAGGTGGCATTCTCCTTGTGTTAGACACTTACCCACATTATTAATTGCTTTTTTATGTAAGCCCAACCACATCATGTTCCAAACATTGTTTAATCTCCTTCTCTACTTGTACAGAAGCACATCCTTATGTATCTGTTATTCCTAAACTGTCCATTGTAGTATTCCATCACTCAGTAAATCTATGGAAATTATAAAGCGGCAGCTGGGAGAGCAAATAGCTGGAAGAGAGGAAAAAAACTGTTTTTGGTTATTATGGCATCTAGTAGACAAAAGAAGTACTTGATGGCTTCTTGCAAGTTGTATACCCACATTTTGTTTCTCTATCTTTGTCTTTAAAGGAGTAACTACTATTTAATAATCAAGAGCATTCCATTATCATTTTGTAACAAGCTTCTCCCTCCCGCCCTGGCAACAGAGAACTCACAACCAGAAATTTAAGTTGGTTAAATTTGATACAGTTCTTCTGCCTAGATTCTGAAAATTATTCATGCTAATGTATAATTACTTTATGGCATAGCTAAACAAATGACATAGCAAGTAGAAGCTTTGTTTTTGATGGTTGTCTCTCATCCTACTGATGAACACTTCATATTTTAACAGCTGATGTTAATTCTTCAAAATCGGTTGGCAGTGATGCATCTTATGTTGTAAAAGTGGTAAGAGAAAACTTGAATCTTTATTTCAAAATTTTAAAATGGCTGTTTTGGTATAGCATATGCAATGTGTGACATGCTGTAAGCTGCTATATATTGTTACAATAGTTATATACTACATCATTGCGTGTGTGTGTGACTTCTAAACAAGAAATACACAGATGCCCAGAAGCCCCAGTGGGGGATCAGGACTTTGTGATGCTATATACAGATTGCTTTACAAACACAGGGATATACCATTTGAAAGTTCAAATAACTTGCAAAGGATGGAAGGAAGACAGTCAGTCATACTTTAGGTAACAGAAAGATAGATTCCTTTCAGTACACAAGAGAGTGAAAGCCTGGACTAGTTTTGGATTTCTTTTAGAAAAGAAGGAACACCAGATATTATGAAGAAAGGCAGGGCAATAGGACAGGCAAAAATTGAGGCGTTGAGGACTACCTGTAACATAAGACTGTAATACCACAGAACGATGATGTTAATAGTAACAGAGAATACAGGGGATGGGGTGGTCCACAATTCAGTTTGGACTGTGTTAACTTATGGCAAGACATCCAGGTGGACACACACTAATCTGAGACCTGAGACTGGATGAAGGGAGGTAAGTTAGGATAGCGGTGACCAACATTTTTTTGCAGGTGTACCATAAATTAGTCCCATAGCCTTCTGGAGTGCCATTCTGATCCCTTTCTCCTGTCCGATCTGTTGCTCTGCTTTCTCTTCTCTGCCTTGTGTTTCCTGCCCAAACTCCTGCTCTTGCTTCCTGCCCCACCTGCTACTGTGCTGCTTATATCTTGCTCTCATCTTGTGTGCCACACACAGAGGCTGCCTGTGTCACTTGTGGCATGTGTGCCCTAGGTGGCCACCCTTGGGTTAGGAGCTGTTAGTGATGGATTGGTTGGTAGTTGGTACAGTATCCCAGATTATTCAGAACAATCTACTTGAGTACTCCAAAATGGATACATTTTCTTTGTCAGTTTTACTGGAGTATTTCTGTGTACTGTATCACTGATGTTAGTTACTCCATCAGTTGTAAGGATCTTGGAATGGCAAAAGGTACAGGCATGGAAGAAATTTTCTAACACAATTATCTAAAATGATAAAGAATCACAAAGCTGTAACTGACTTGATTCTGGGCTCCTAGCATGTGCCAAGTTGGAACTCAATACAGAAGAACTGAGACTAGTATCAGCATATACATGTATAACTGTACATTTGATCTTATGATTGGAATAGCACTTCAGTATTTTTATCTAGTACTGAGAGAGTTTAGACAGGGATAGTCCTCTGCCTTGAACAGGGAATCTAGTAAACAACCTCTTGAGCTCCCTTCAAGCTCTTTGATTCTCGTAATGGAGGAAAAAGGTATGCCCCCATTAATTACATTAGTTTTGACTGTTAACGGGGTGGGGGGTGTTAGTAGCCATAAATTCATACAATTTACCCCATGAAATATAAAATATAAATAAATCTTGTGTGTGTGTGTGTGTGTGTGTGTGTGTGTGTGTGTGTGTGTGTGTGTGTGTGTGTGTGTGTGTGTGTGTGTGTGTGTATAAAGTAAATATGAATGCTTATAGCCCATTTTTTCCAAAGTTTAAAAACTAAATTGTTTTGTTCTAAATTTACTGTGCCTGATGCATAACTGCAAATCTTGACAGTGTCAATTTCTGCTTCACATGACTATTAATGATAAATTTGTTTGGAAATGGTGGTGGTTGCAAACTAATGTTCTGCATTATAAAGAATAAAGTGCATTTCTATTTCACTTTAATATTGCAATCTTCTTTCTGTCACAATTTGCAGTACCTCTGTTGCTGAGCTTCCTGATAGTTACTTGCTTTCATTCCTAGTTTTTTTTTCTACCTGTGTTTGGGTATTTGGGAAATATGTATTATCCCCATCTTTGCACTGGGTCTGCCTACATAAATACCAGACTTTTTTGCTGTCTTCATATGCTGTTAGGTAGCAATTCTTGGTAAAAGCCTTGTTTCTGATGTCTTGGGAGTCAAGTCACCAATATTTGACTAGTAAACTAAGGTTTGTTAGTGTTCAGAAGAAAATGGTTTTCACACAGTATTTCTTAAAATTGGTACGTTATTAAAGCAGTATAGAAATTGGTGTAGTATCTGACATCTAGTTCTTATGATATTGATGTCTGAGTACAGTAAAAACTCTGTTATCTGGCATGAGTGGGGAATGGGGGATGCCTGGTATCTAAAAATTCTGGATGCCTGATGCTGCTGGTTTTTGGCCGGGCAGGGGGGTGGGTGTGGTGGCAGGCAGAGGTGGAGAGGTGGCAGTGCAGGGTTGATGTTGTGGCTGGATGTGGAGCAGCAGCAGCGAAGTGTGGTGGTAGCTGCTACTGCATGCGAGCTTTCCCCCCACTCCCTCTGCATCCATCCAGCTGGCCAGAAATTCCGGTTAATAGAGTATTCTGGCTAGTAGAACGATGGATAACAGGGCTTTTACTGTAGTAATACAGGCATACCTCGTTTTATTGCGCTTCATTTTATTGTGCTTCGCAGATATTGCGTTTTTTACAAATTGAGGCAAGACCCTCCACCAGCAAAAAGATTACGACGCACTGAAGGCTCAGATGATGGTTAGCATTTTTTAGCAATAAAGTATTTTTTAATTAAGGTATGTACATTGTTTTTTTAGACATAATGCTATTGCACACTTAATAGACTACAGTATAGTGTAAACATAACTTTTATATGCACTGGGAAACCAAAAAATTCGTGTGACTCTCTTTATTGCGATATTCGCTTTATTGCGGTGGTCT